TTCTAGTAGACAATCCCTTATAAACTGTAGCTCTTGTTTGCTTCAACTCAGAAAGAGATCAGCACAGTCTTGTGGGCAGGATTATCATAATTAGGTCACCTCCTTATAACAGAGCTTTGGGATGAACATGAGTGCTCCTCAAGCAATCATTTAGATACACAGACAGGTAGAATGATAACTTCTGCTGGCAAAAAAAGACGTAAACGTCCTAACAAATGAGTCTGAATTCCTTTCCAGGATCATCTCACAATCAGTTATGGAAAAGAAACAAGATGAAGTAATAAATGCTGGGTGTAGCCCAAGTAAAAGAAGAGCCGAATTGAAGAAGCTGCCGATGAGCTCAGGTTATGTCTTGGTCATTTTGAGGTTCTGTTTACTTTATTCCCTCTTCTCCCATCACTGAAGAGGAAGATTAGAAGCATGTGACTTCATTTGAAACTGTGGTTTGCAGTTCTGGTGTCCTGAGCACAAGAAGGACATGGAGCTGTTGGAACAAGTCCAGAGGAGGCCATGAGGATGATCAGGGGCTGGAGCACCTCCTGTTTGAAGACGGGCTGAGAAAGTTGGGGCTGTTCAGGCTGGAGAAGAGAAGGCTGTGTGGAGACCTCAGAGCAGCTTCCAGTGTCTGAAGGTAGCTATCAGGATGCTTGGGAGGGATGGTTCATCAGGGCCTGGAGTGATAGGACAAGGGGTGATGGGTCCAAACTGAAACAGGGGAAGTTCAGGTTGGATATAAGGAAGAACTTCTTTGCCATGAGAGTGGTGAGGCCCTGGCAGAGGTTGCCCAAAAAAATGGTAAGTGCTCCATCCCTGGCACTTATTAGTTGTCTCTATATATATACATATATATATATGTAATAATAATTCTCGAAGAAAACTTTTCTTCTGAAAGAACAACATCAGTTCAGCAAAGACAGTCACCACTCATAACTGCTGTGAGGCAGAACATGTCAAGGCAGGGATAAACTGGGGTAGATTCCTAAATTTGGTGTCATCAGATGCAAGACTGGAGGCATAATGTGAAAAATATTTTTTCTTGAAAATAAAAAAAGAATTTGCAAAATTGCCAAAGTCAGATTTGAGCAATAGAGCTCATCAGGATTAGCTTCTGTCTTAGTTTGTTCAAGTTTGTTCTAGAACTGAAGCTGTAGTGCACTCCATCGAATCATAGTATAGTTAGGGTTGGAAAGGGCCTTAAGATCATCAAGTTCCAACCCCCCTGCCATGGGCAGGGACACCTCACACTAAACCCAAGGCTCTGTTCAACCTGACCTTGAACACTGCCAGGGATGGAGCATTCACAACCTCCCTGGACAACCCATTGCAGTGCTTCACCACCCTTACAGTAAAGAACTTCTTCCTTACATCCAATCTAAACTTCCCCTGTTTAAGTTTTAACCCACTACCCCTTGTCCTATCACTACAGTCCCTAATGAAGAGTCCCATCCCAGCATCCTCATAAGCCCCCTTCAGATACTGGAAGGTATCTCCAGATACCTTCAGCCTGTTGTACCTGGCAATGAAGAACCTGCTAGAGAGAAACAGAATGATGTCTGGCCCAGGAGCAGGAGGAGTTGGAACTTCTTGTAACAGGGGTTGGAACTAGATGATCTTAAGGTCCTTTCCAACCCTAACTATTCTATGACAAAATGGGTTGCCCAGGGAAGCTGTGAATGCTCCATCCCTGGCAGTGTTCAAGGCCAGGTTGGACAGAGCTTTGGGTGACATGGTTTAGTGGGAGGTTTCCCTGCCCATGGCAGGGAGGTTGGAACTGGATGTCGGAAGGTCCTTTCCAACCCTAACTATTGTATGATTCTATGATTATATGGAAGGAAAGCAGAATTGCCATAGGAATGCCTGTCCTCAAAGGCTATCTGAGTTGAGTAAAACTCTTACTCAGGCTTCTTATCATAAGACAGACCTACACATACTGTATGAGAATCTAAAAGCCACACACCTACTCCATTCTACTTCAAAATTTAGGGTAGCCATTAAGCCTTAGTTTCTCCAGGGATGAAGAGGTTTGAACAGTGATGTTCTCTGAACATGGCATGCTACCGCAGGACACTGCATACTTTATGGGAAATCTGGATGGAGCAACTGGGAATAGATTGACATTGGACATGAGCTGCCACCAGAGGTAAAAGAACTGGCAGTATAGGAGTGTATGGGCATGCAAATCAGAGCTACGTGTCCCAGCTTAGCTACACTGGTCTCAAGCTGCTGCTTTTGTTTAAGAGCAAGGTTTGATGAATGAAAGAAACACAGGGAAGGGTCATGGAAGAGCGAGTAGGAACTGCTAAAGTGTCTTCAGCCATATAAATGAAAAATATCATCCGGGACTCTAGTAATAGGACAAGGAGCAATGGGTTTAAACTCAAACAGAGGAGGTTTAGGTTGGATAACAGGAAGAAATTAGTTACTGTCAAAGTTGTGAGGCACTGGCACAGGCTGCCCAAGGAAGCTGTGGCTGCCCCATCCCTGGCAGTGTTCAAGGCCAGGTTGGACACAGGGGCTTGGAGCAAGCTGCTCTAGTGGAAGGTGTCCCTGCCTGTGGCAGGGGATTGGAACTGGATGAGCTTTAAGGTGCTTTCCAACCCAAACCAGTCTGGGATTCTATGACTATGACTGACCTTGTGGAGAGGGGAAGATGTAGAAGTTTAAGGTTGATGCACATCTTGAAATGTGTATGTTTCCCTGCTAAGAATATGCACCACAATATGTGTCTGAGGAAAGACTGTGTAGAAAGTAGTGGTGAAGGCCAGAGAACTAAATGATGGTTGAGCAGTGCAGGAGGCAAGTTGATGCAGGATCCCTGTCTCATATGTTGCATAAGCTGGGAGGTGACCCAAGACTCAGAGGAAGAACAGGTGAAGGAAGGTGCTCTGTGTGTAGGCTGTAGAACCACTGTGGGTGTTTAATCCTCCTTATGCCACATTGTTCCTGATTGGTGTTGCACAAACCTTGTATTAAAAAATGTCCCTTTCAACCATGGCCACCTTCTGTAGAGTTCTTCTGCAGATGCATGATTTCAGATAGCAAGAGCATTCAGAAGGGTATCTGTGTTGATTGATGAGAAACTGAACATGAGCAGGTGAGTGCACGCTCACAGCCCAGGAAGCCAACTGTATCCCAGGCTCCATCAAAAGGAGCGTGACCAGCAGGTCGAAGGAGCTGATCCTGCCCCTCTACTCTGCTCTGTTGGAGTATGGTGTGCAGTTCTGGTGTCCTCAACATAAAAAGGACATGGAACTGTTGGAACAAGTCCAGAGGAGGCCACAAGGATGATCAGGGGACTGGAGCATCTCCTGTATGAAGACAGGCTGAGAAAGTTGGGGCTGTTCAGGCTGGAGAAGAGAAGGCTGCGTGGAGACCTCAGAGCAACCTTCCAGTATCTGAAGGGGGCCTATAGGGATGCTGGGGAGAGACTCTTCATTAGGGACTGTAGTGATAGGACAAGGGGTGATGGGATCAGCCTGAAACAGGGGAAGTTCAGGTCAGATATAAGGAAGAAGTTCTTTACCGTGACGATGGTGAGACACTGGCACAGGTTGCTCAAAGAAGTGGTAAATACTCCATCCCTGGCAGTGTTCAAGGCCAGTTTGGATGGAATCTTAGGTGACGTGGTCTTGTATCAGGCATCCCTGCCCGTGGCAGGGGTTTGGAACTGGGTGATCTTAAGGTCCTTTCCAACCCAAACCATTCTATGGTTTTATGAATCAGTGGGTGCACTGCACTGAACATATAATCTGAAAAAAAACAACCCCAATCAAAATGAGTTTCTTTTCCTTGTTGAATTGTCATTTAGCTTGGATCACACTGTGTCTTATCTCCTCTTTGTAACAATATATAATGCTACCTTCATGCTTGTGAGAGGGACTTTATAAAACTTGTTATAGTTAGAACTTATCATTTTAGATCCATTAAATATAGATCTTAAGCCGCAGAAATGCCCCTGGGGTTCTCACTTCTGGGAAGCAGGAGAATGTGAAGGATATATTTGATAAGAATTCCTTAAATTCATAGGAATTCTCTTAAATGAGATACAGAAACCAGATTTGATTTTACATTTGGTTTTGCTTCTCTTTCCAGAAAGTACATGAGATTCCTGAAGGACAGCCCCATCTGAGATAGAGGGTAGTGTCTCTTTAGTTCACAATATCTAAAAAGAGGAAAACCTGTTCTTTACTCCTCCTGACTGACCTGGTGACTTTCAATGTTCTAATCAAGCAAGTAGTTGATGGGTATTGTCTTTTCTTCCAAAACATTTCTGCTGTGAGCTCAGCAGTCACATCACTGGCACACTGGAAATCTGGGGAAACAATGTCAAGTGTCTGTGCAAGGAGACTCTTGGTCACAAAAGCGGTGATGTGGAATAGCTCCGTGCACATGTACTTGCTCCCAGATGCAAGTGACATGGATTTTGGCAGGTGTGTGGGTAGTTGTTGCAGAACATTGCCTATGCTGTAAATTCAATTGAACTGCCTTCTCAGCAGTTTCTCTGGATGAGCAGGCCTGTGGCTTTCAATACCTACCTGGGCGTCTCAAGGTGGCTTTGACATTTGTTTGGAGACCTGGGTAATACAGACAGGGACAGCTTCTGCTTTCAAACTGAGAAAGTCCTGATTTGACTGTGCATGTATAGGCAGGGACATCTCCTATTTGACAGGGCAAGGGGTAATGCCTTCAAGCTAAAAGAGGGGAGTCTGAGGTGAGCTCTTAGGCAGAAGTTCTTCCCTGTGAGGGGTCTGAGGCACTGGCACAGGGTGTAAGGAGAATCTGTGGCTGCCCCATCCCTGGTGCTGTTCAAGGCCAGGTTGGACACAGGGGCTTAGAGCAAGCTGCTCTAGTGGAAGGTGTCCCTGCCCGTGGCAGGGGTTGGAGCTGAATAGTTTTAAGGTCCCTTTCCACCCAAACCAGTCTGAAATTCTAGACTGAAGAGGAGCCAACAAGCCCGCAAGCATAGGGAGTGGCTTGGAGAGGGACTTTATAATGGGCAGGCTGAGATGGTTCATTCTCAGCCTGGACACAGTGCTGCAAAACTTAGACCAGTTGCACCTCAGCACCAACTGCACATCTACCAGTACAGATGGCTCCACAGACTGGCTCCACCAGAAAGGAGACAAGACCTGCTTCAGCCTTTCTGCAGCTTTTCACTTGGGAAGAGATCAGGATGCACAATGGCCGTGGGCAAGGACAGGAACAATGGCTGGTGATTGACAGGAAAGTGTATGATGTCAGCAAGTTTTCCAAACGACATCCTGGAGGCAGCCGAGTTTTAAGCCACTATGCTGGGCAAGATGCTACGGTAAGGTCTAGGAGGGCAGAGGAGGAAGTGTGTGTCATGGTCAGGGTAGGACATGGTGGGACACCAGTGGAGAGTCTGGCAGTTGATGCTGTGCTTGGGGCATGGATTTGCCTAAAGCCAGGATCCATGATTTTTTCCCAAGCGCTGTTGACTACTCCAGAGCTCATAATTGTATATATGTGGTGAGAATTAACTTCCTCTGGAGTTCAGCATCTGGTGTTTAGTCTCACATCCTTTCTTAACCCTTTCATTTGTGTCTTTCTCAGGATGCCTTTATAGCATTTCATAAGGACAAGTCCCTGGTGGAAAAATACTTGAAGTCACTGCTGATTGGGGAGCTGGCACCAGATCAACCCAGCTGTGAGTCTAATAAAGATGTGAGTGTCTCTAATGGAAAGTGAATGTCCCTAATAAAAAAGTGAGCGTCCTAGAATCCAGCAGTGGGAATGGCTTGGGGTTTGGTATGGGAGGAGAAGGAAAACAAAGGACCTAGCAGCATACCTGACACTGTGCCATAGGCATGGGAACATGCGCTGTCCCAGAATCACTAAATCCACACCTGGGTGTGAGCAAGGAGCCGCAGAGCCTCAGATTCTGCTCGGTTCTTCCCACTGCAATGTGTCAGTATCAAAGCTCATCAGTAACTTGTTTTCCAGTGTCAAAGCAAGACCAAGATCTGTTGATCTGATGCTCACGTTTATACAAAGGACCCTCTGAGACAATATCTCCTGTGACTTCCATGTCTACTGTGGGATTCTTGGGTCTGCCGTGCTTCATTTGCAATGTAGTCAGTGCGTTAATACTCACTTTTCCCACAGAAAGCACTTGTAGAGGATTTTCGTGAGCTGCGCTGCTCTGTTGAGAAGATGGGACTTCTGAGGCCAAATTACACCTTTTTCTTCCTGATTTTCCTTCACCTCCTGGTACTGGATGTTGCATCCTGGCTCGTGGTCTGGCACTTTGGAATATCCTTTGTGCCTTTCGTGGTTGGCATAGTGTTGTTCACCACTGCTCAGGTAAACTGCTGACAGCCATTCAACGCTGCAGACCTGTTTGGCTCTCCTGGGTAGAAGATAATGAGATGCTGATATCCCAGTTGTTGCTTTACTTCCTCATCTTAGATCCTGTTGTCTGGCTGAAGACAAGCATGTTGTACAACACAGTTTTGGTTGCCTCCAGCAACCCATTTTGCTGACAAGCTGCTCTCCAGGGTTGGTGGGGTGCTGTGAAGCTGGCATTTCATAAGATGGGATGAGCTGATCTCCTCACTCACCCAAGCAAAGGAGGGAATATTTCATGCTCAACTCCACTGTTGTGATACTGATAGCTCTGGTGCTTGTTGGGTCCTTTAGGAGCCAGTTACACTCAGTAGTCCTGAAAAATAGAAGGGTATGATACATGTCAGGGTTGGTGGAGGGAAGGAGGGAATAAGGACTTTGTGACCCTTAGATGGGAGGGTGAAGGGGGGAAGAAAGCAAGATTTTCTTAGTGGCGCTGAATCCTTAGGTGTTTTGAGACATCCATGGACAAAGTGTGAAGTAACTCATCTTTTTTAAACTATCTGTTTTATTTGTCCAATATCTGCTAAGGCAGATACTCCTCAGAGAGCATTCTTGTATTTCCATAGGAAAAATTGAGTGTAATCAAGTTGTGGATTTGGAAATGCTTACATTATCTAGCTAGTTACTTGGAAATCATCAATTTGCAATGGGAGCAAAAGACCTCCACGCTATAACAGTCGACTTGATTGTAATGCTATTTTGCTATTTTCCCCTCAGCTGCTCCAATAAAATCAGTATCTGGTATCTGAAGAGTTGCACCAGATGATCCTTGAGGTCTTTTCCAACCTGGTATTCCATGATTCCATGGCGTTCTATGATGCTGAGCAGCTTTAGGACAGTAGCCTGGAAGGAAGTTCTCAGCACTGAGCATCTAAGAGAGGCGGTGGGGTTTCTTCCCCAAACCAGGAGAAAGACACACTCATACTCTGAAGTTACAGAGCCTCCCAAGGCAAATGAATGCAATGCCACTGTGACTCTTCTTCCTCAGTGACCCTTTTGTCTTCCAGATCCAGATGGGCTGGTTCCAACATGATCTGGGGCACTGCTCTGTCTTCAGGAAGCCTAAATGGAATCGACTTCTGCAGATTGTGGTGATAAATGTTCTGAAGGTAGTTTCCTCATATTGGGAACATTCTGTGTGGTTAATGTGGATTAAGCAATGAATGGGAGTGTCCTTACAGTCCGATAATATTGCTTGGGAGAGAAGTGCAGTGTAGCTGTGAATAAGAGGTGGATAAATAGCAATTGGTGATACTGTTCAAGTCTGAATCCCTGGTCTTCATGTTTTTGTGCAGGGGTTTCCAGCCAGCTGGTGGAATCACCTACACCACCAGCACCATGCCAAACCCAACTGCTTCCTCAAAGACCCTGACCTCAGCTTGCACCCGAAACTCTTCAGCTTGGGAAAGACCCTCTCTGTGGAGGTGAGCATGGGCATGTTTGGAGAAGCAAAGATTTTAATGACAGGAAGCTGCAGAGTGAGGTGTAAATATTGATTCTTGAGCATTTTTGTATCCTGTCGTGAATTTGAGCCCTCTTAAAAATGGCTTTGTTCTGATATTGACTTAACACTGATATCTAGATACAGAAGCTGAAAGGAAACCTGCTTCTCTCTCTTGCTTTGGAACTTCAGTACCTGCTTTTCAAGAGGGGTTGAATTAGATAAATGAAGAGGTAGTTCTCACTGTGTTCATTAAGCAGGAATCTAAAATACCTCCTGAAGCATCTCAGGTCTCCAAGTGGCCCATTGCAATGTCTTTTCATCTTTCAGCTTGGAAAAAAGAAGAAGAAGTTCATGCCTTACAATTATCAGCATATGTACTTCATCTGTGAGTATTTCATCCTTACTTCTTTGCAGTGCTGTAGAACTTCACCTAAATATCCATCTCCTTCCCAAAATAAAGGTTTTAAAGATACTGCCATTGAAGTCACAGCTCCCAGATGTTTTGTTCACACCAAAGAAGGTTCACATGACAAGTTATTGCCCCTTATATCTCTCTTAGGATTATGTGGTGTTAGGTACCATATAGGGGTGAATCAAGTGTACGGATGAAGGTGTTGGGAAAGAAATGAAGTGGTGACGTGAAAAGAGGAAGAGAATATTCTGCGATGTGAAAGTTGGTGCAAATGGAAGAGAGCACTTTTATTTCCACTGGAAAGAGAATCTTTCTTCTTACAGAAGAATAGTGAGGACAGGCTGAGAAACTTGGGGCTGTTCAACCTGGAGAAGAGAAGGCTGTGTGGACACCTCATAGCAGCCTTCCAGTATCTGAAGGGGGCCTAGAAGGTTGCTGGGAAGGGACTCTTTGTTAGGGACTGTAGTGATAGGACAAGGGGTAATGGGTTAAAACTTGTAGAGGGGAAGTTTAGATTGGATATAAGGAAGAAGTTATTTACTGTGAGGGTGCTGAGGCACTGGAATGGGTTGCCCAGGGAAGCTGTGAATGCTCCATCCCTGGCAGTGATCAAGGCCAGGTTGGACAGAGCCTTGGGTGACATGGTTTAGTGTGAGGTGTCCCTGTCCATGGCAGGGGGGTTGCAACTGGATGACCTTAAGGTCCATTCCAACCCTAACTATTATATGGTTCTATGATTCTGGAATATTTATGATGCTGTGAATTGATAAACCTCTTCTGTTTTCATTCCTTCTTTCAGTACTGACCCCACTTACATTTATACCCTTCCTCGAGTTCTCTGTATTCTCCATTGCAATCAAGAAGAAAAACTGGTTGGTAAGCACTGCTTGCAATGTCTAGAAGGAACATTCAAACCCTACCTCCACTCTGTGGCTATATTAACCTTCACTTCAAGTGACTGGGGCAGTTAGGAGAGAAAAGGCTGATTCTAGGCTTGCTGCAGCAGGAATGCAGTCAATGGGACTGGGAAGATTTTTCTAGAAGCTATTTGGCCTTTTAGTAGCTGAATAAAAGTGAACAGAAGACTATCAGGCCTAGTCCCAAACAGGGCTGTTTGTCTGTGGGTCTTTAGTTACTGAAGGTAATGTGAGTGCTGTTGGATGCTTCAGGGATACAGTCAGCTGGAGGCAGAATGATGGTGTGGAGCCTCCCCTTGGTAAATGAAAGATCAATAACTAAGAACATTTTTAATGCTGGAGTTCAAGTAAAGGGGAGTGGAGGGGGTTCATCAACAAAACCTTATTTTCATCTTGTTTTGCTTTGTTTTACAGGACGTTTTATTGACTGTCACTTTCTACATCCGAAGTGGTCTCATGTATATTCCTTTGATGGGATTTAAAAATTTTGTGATGTACTTCTGGCTGTGCAGGTAACACACAGCATATCCAGGGTCCCCATGACTAATACCTGGAAACAACATTGAGTTTCAGTGGAAAGGAATGCAAAATAATTGTATTCATTGCAATTTACTTATATTTATTTTCTAATTGGTGGCCCAGAAGAAAGAGTGAAATTCAGGGGAGGGCTGGTGGCTGCTCAGCGACATCTGCAGCTACAAATTGAGTGGTTGTCAAAAGAAACTCCAAAACGCAGGAGGCAAACGCTTGATATAGGAAATCCTGAATTGCGTAAAAGTGCTCTTTCACTAAAGATGAGATTCAGGAAGGTGTTTTAATGGTAAATTTGGATGGGATTAGAGGTCTGGTGTTTCTGTGTTTATCTGTGCAGGTGCCTGGAGAGTATCTGGTTTGCTTGGGTGACACAGATGAATCACATTCCAATGCACATTGATTATGATAGGAACAAAGACTGGGTATCTACTCAGGTGAGAATCTCTGTTTTCTAGAAAGGGTCTGCAGTTCTGAATTGCAGGACAAAGGCAATGTTGTTATTCTCATGGCTGTAACGCTGTGCTAATGAGGTTTGCTCTTGCTCTTTGTTAAACAGGCATTTCCATAATAGTAAAACCACTTAAAACTTTAGTTGTAACAAAGGGCATTGGGAGTAAAAAAAATCCTACTTTTTCACTGAAGTGTTTTCATGTGTTTTTCACAATGCTTTTCCCTTTCTATTATGAAAAGAGATGATCCAGCAGGCAATCTCCTTTTTAGGCCAACTGAAGAGAAGCAAAATGGGACTGTATTCCTTTATTGTTTACCCTACACGTTACAGCTGTAGTGCAGATAAGATAAATTTTTAGGTCTGATAAAGTGAGTATGTTAATCTAACTTGATTCCAGTCTTTGCTGCCTCCAGCAGTATAATGCTATTCATTGGAGAGAAAGAGCCATTTCTAGAGCAGGATTCACCTTACTCTGAAAGCAGATCAGATGAATGGCAACTGGTGTTCTCCATTGACTGTAAGGTGATGAGCTCAGATGCAGATTTCAGATTAAAGGTATCTAAATCAGGTGAGATGAAGCCTGTGGACACAAACCTTTGCCCTCATCCTTTTGTGTCTGACTCCAATGGTACTAGTTGGAGGAGGTCAGAAGAATGGCTTTTGTTTCTCAACCGGGCATCTTTTCTTTCCATTCTTTCCATCCAAGTGAAAGATGTGAGAACCTCTTTAAAGAATGACAGTTGGGGTTGTGTGCATGACAATCAAGGTGCTCTTTCTGATCAAAGAGCTATTTAAATTGACTTATATGCTAACAACACATTTAAATCTAGACTTTGATTAATTCTTCAGGGCAATCATGGCTATAATCACTGACTCTGACTTGCTCTTTATATTGAATAGGGATGGATAATGATTGCTGGGGTTCAGTTACCAGACTTGAAGATAAATTAAATCTAAACCATGTATTTCTTTGGTGTCTTTTCCTCCCAGCTCCATGCAACGTGCAACGTGAAACAATCTTTGTTCAATGACTGGTTCACTGGGCACCTCAACTTCCAAATTGAGCACCAGTGAGTATGACTATGGGAAGAAGAGTGGGAATAATATGGGGAACTTAAAAGACAGCAAGGCCATGTAGTCTCACACTAAAGCATCTCAGGAGACCCTTTGCTCTCCTTATGGGAGAGGGCAGGGAATTACTTTGGACAGAGGGAACAGAGAATGATACAAGCCAACGCTTACAGTAACTCCCTCTCCTTCAATTCTGCAGCCTTTTCCCCACAATGCCTCGACACAACTACTGCAAAGTAGCTCCTCTGGTGAAAGCCCTTTGTGAGAAGCATGGCATTGAGTATAAAAGCAAGACGTTACTGACAGCATTTTCAGATATTTTGCAGTAAGTATCACTTAGCAAGATAGTTTTGCATTGTATTTGCTTGCAAGGAAGAGACATAAGCCAGCATTACAAATCTATTTCCATGGTGAGATCAAACCTAGAGTTTATTTTGGTTTTTCTAAAGGCACATAGATTTTCAAATTTGTTTTCTCTTATTAAATCCTCTCTACTCATTCCCTTTACACAGACTTTGCTATCGAGTTTTTAATCCATTTTTTCCATTTACTTCATTTTAATTCTAAATTGCTTCCTATGAAGTTGAATATTGTGTGCTCATAAGTGATTTTTTACTTTCTTTTCCTGCAGTTCACTGAAGGATTCCGGAGAGCACTGGCTTGAAGCTTATCTGCATGGATAGAAACTGGCAGCTCTCAACTGGAATCTCTTCACCAGGCAACAGCTGCAGACTCAGCACAGACCAGCAGCGTGTGTGTGTCTTCTGGCATAAAAACTCAGGAGCTGGGCAAAGCTAACTGCAGTAACAAGGGGTGGGATAGTAGCTTCACTAGACATTTTTTTTCTTGTCCTCAACCATGAACCTCTATTCTTCCTGTTCTCAGTCTCAGAACTTAGAGCCATGATGAACTGGGTCTTTAAACTGGGGAGAAGTGGCTCTCGAATCAGCTCGCTCAGTTGACTTCATTGAGGTGTCAGCTCATTGCTTATGGAAATGTTTGATAGGAAATTCTTCAGAGAATCGTGGAATGGTTTGGGTTGGAAAGGAGCATTAAAGATCATCTTTAAAGGATTGGAAAGGACCTTAAGATCACCTAGTTCCAACCCCCCTTGCATGGTCAGGGACACCTCGCACTAAACCATGTCACCCAAGCCTCTGTCCAAGCTGGCCTTGAACACTGAAAAAGAAACAAGATGAAGTAATAAATGCTGGGTGTAGCCCAAGTAAAAGAAGAGGTGAATGAAGAAGCTGCCAATGAGCTCAGGTTATGTCTTGGTCATTTTGAGGTTCTGTTTACTTTATTCCCTCTTCTCCCATCATTGAAGAGGAAGGTTAGAAACATGTGACTTCATTTGAAACTGTGGTTTGCAGTTCTGGTGTCCTGAACACAAGAAGGACATGGAGCTGTTGGAACAAGTCCAGAGGAGGCCACGAGGATGATCAGGGGCTGGAGCACCTCCTGTTTGAAGACGGGCTGAGAAAGTTGGGGCTGTTCAGGCTGGAGAAGAGAAGGCTGCGTGGAGACCTCAGAGCAGCTTCCAGTGTCTGAAGGTAGCTATCAGGATGCTTGGGAGGGACGGTTCATCAGGGCCTGGAGTGATAGGACAAGGGGTGATGGGTCCAAACTGAAACAGGGGAAGTTCAGGTTGGATATAAGGAAGAAATTCTTTACTGTGAGAGTGGTGAGGCACTGGCACAGGTTGCCCAAAAAAATGGTAAGTGCTCCTTCCCTGGCGGTGTTCAAGGCCAGGTTGGACAGAGCCTTGGGTGACATGGTCTAGTGTGAGGCATCCCTGGCCATGGCAGGGGATTGGAACTGGATGACCTTAAGAACCTTTCCAACTAAAACCATTCTATGATTCTATGAAATATTTCTCTCTTGAGCAAGTATTCCGAAGTTATCAACATAGAGAACTCAATAAAGGCCTGCTGGAGTCTAATTCAGATTCCAGGCTAGATAGTAGCTGGTTCATGTTATGTTCTCTGTCTGATAGGCAACTTAATTATGAGTTGTCTCTGTATATATATATATATATATATATATATATAAGAATAATTCTTGAAGAAAACTTTTCTTCTGAAAGAACGACATCAGTTCAGCAAAGACAGTCACCACTCATAACTGCTGTGAGGCAAAACATGTCAAGGCAGGGATAAACTGGGGTAGATTCCTAAATGTGGTGTCATCAGATGCAAGACTGGAGGCATAATGTGAAAAATTATTTTTGTTGTAGATAAAAAAGAATTTGCAAAAATGCCAGAGTCAGATTTGAGCAATAGAGCTCATCAGGATTAGCTTCTGTCTTAGTTCGTTCAAGTTTGTTCTAGAACTGAAGCTGTAGTGCACTCCATAGAATCATAGTATAGTTAGGGTTGGAAAGGACATTAAGATCATCCAGTTCTCCATTTCCAACCCCCCTGCCATGGGCAGGGACACCTCACACTAAACCATGTCACCCAAGGCTCTGTCCAACCTGACCTCGAACACTGCCAGGGATGGAGCATTCACAGCTTCCCTGGGCAACCCCTTCCGGTGCCTCAGCACCCTCACAGTAAAGGACTTCTTCCTTATATTCAATCTAAACTTCCCCTGTTTAAGTTTTAACCCACTACCCCTTGTCCTATCACTACAGTCCCTAATGAAGAGTTCCTTCCCAACATCCTCATAAGCCCCCTTCAGATACTGGAAGGTATCTCCAGATACCTTCAGCCTGTTGTACCTGACAATGAAGAACCTGCTAGAGAGAAATGGAATGATGTCTGGCCCAGGAGCAGGAGGAGTTGGAAATTCTTGTAACAGGGGTTGGAACTAGATGATCTTAAGGTCCTTTCCAACCCTAACTATTCTTTGATAAAATGGGTTGGCCAGGGAAGCTGTGCATGCTCCCTGCCTGGCAGTGTTCAAGGCCAGGTTGGACAGAGCTTTGGGTGACATGGTTTAGTGGGAGGTGTCCCTGCCCATGGCAGGGGGGCTGGAATTTGATGCTCTTAATGTCCTGTCCAACCCTAACTATTGTACGATTCTATGATTATATGGAAGGAATGCAGAATTGCCATAGGAATGCCTGTCCTCAAAGGCTATCAGTTGATTAAAACTTTTACTCAGGCTTTTGAAGCATGAGTAAAACTCATGCTGGCTTAGATCATTTGTAGAGATAACTGTACTCGGAAAGATGACTACCTGACAGATGGATGTTCTAGTCTCAGAGTTAAATGGGATCTCGGATGACACCTTCTTGATTAGAGTGGATAGTGGCTGAACTTCTTATCATAAGACAGATCACAGTATCACAGTATCACAGTATCACAGTATGCTAGAGATTGGAAGGGACCTCGAAAGATCGTCTAGTCCAATCCCCCTGCTGGAGCAGGAACACCTAGATAATGTTACACAGGAATGTGTCCAGGCAGGTTTTGAATGTCTCCAGGGAAGGAGACTCCACAACCTCCCTGGGCAGCCTGTTCCAGTGTTCCATCACCCTCACTGAGAAGAAGTTTCTTCTCAAGTTTAAGTGGAACCTCTTGTGTTCCAGTTTGTACCCATTACCCCTTGTCCTATCATTGTTTGCCACTGAGTAGAGCCTGGCTCCATCCTCGTGGCACTCCCCCTTTATATATTTATATACACTAATAAGGTCACCCCTCAGTCTCCTCTCCTCCAAACTATAGAGACCCAGCTCCCTCAGTCTTTCCTCATAAGGGAGATGCTCCACTCCCTTAATCATCTTAGTTGCCCTGCGCTGGACTCTCTCCAGCAGCTCCCTGTCCTTCTTGAACTGAGGGGCCCAGAACTGGACACAATATTCCAGATGGGGTCTCACCAGGGCAGAGTAGAGGGGAAGGAGGACCTCTCTCGACCTACTAACCACCCCCCTTCTAATACACCCCAGGATGCCATTGGCCTTCTTGGCCACAAGGGCACAGTGTTGGCTCATGGTCATCCTGTCGTCCACCAGGACCCCCAGGTCCCTCTCCCCTACACTGCTCTCTAACAGGTCGTTTCCCAACGTATACTGGAACCTGGGGTTGTTCCTGCCCAGATGCAGGACTCTACACTTTCCTTTGTTATATTTCATCAAGTTATTCCCTGCCCAACTCTCCAGCCTGTCCAGGTCTCGCTGGATGGCAGCACAGCCTTCTGGCGTGTCAGCCACTCCTCCCAGCTTAGTGTCATCAGCAAACTTGCTGATAGTACACTCAATTCCCTCATCTAAATCGTTGATGAATATATTAAATAATACCGGTCCCAGTACTGACCCTTGAGGCACTCCACTAGTTACAGGCCTCCAACTAGACTCAGCCCCATAGACTACAACTCTCTGGCTTCTCTCCTTCAGCCAGTTCGCAGTCCACCTCACTACCTGATCATCCAGTCCACACTTCCTCAATTTAGCTGTGAGGATGCTGTGGGAGACTGTGTCAAATGCTTTGCTGAAGTCAAGGTAGACCACATCCACCGCTCTGCCATCATCCATCCACCGTGTTATTTCCTCATAAAAGGCTAAGAGATTGGTCAAACATGATTTCCCCCTGGTGAAGCCATGTTGACTGCCCCTCATAACCCTCTTATCCTTGATATGCCTTAAGATGGCACCAAGGATAAGGTGTTCCATCACTTTCCCAGGGATGGAGGTGAGGCTGACCGGTCTATAGTTACCCAGGTCCTCCTTCTTGCCCTTTTTGAAGACTGGAGTGACATTTGCTTTCCTCCAGTCCTCAGGCACCTCTCCCGTTTCCCAAGACTTGGTAAAGATGATGGAGAGTGGTCTAGCAATGACTTCTGCCAGTTCCCTCAGCACCCGCGGGTGCATCCCATCTGGACCCATGGATTTATGGATGTCCAGACTGCTCAACTGGTCTCTAACCCATTCCTCATCGACTAAGGCAAACCGCTCCGTCGACCTGACTTCATCTAAGATCTCCGGGGTACAGGGCTCTTCAGGACTGCCTGCAGCAGAGTAGACAGAGACAAAGAAGGCATTCAGTAACTCTGCCATCTCTGTATCTTCTGTCACCAGGGCACCCATCCCATTCATCAGTGGGCCTACATTGCCTCTGGTGTTAGTTTTGTCTGCCATGTATTTGAAAAAGCTCTTTTTGCTGTCCTTGACCCTTCTCGCCAGGTTTAATTCTAAGGAGGCCTTAGTCCTCCTAGCTGCCTTCCTACATCCTCTAGCAGCAGCCTTATATTCCTCCCAAGTGGCCAGCCCCTCCTTCCATGACCTGTAAACTCTCCTCTTCCACTTGAGCATACCCAGCAATTCCCTATTTAGCCACGCAGGTCTCTTGTTCCTCTTGCTTGACTTCCTACGTGTCGGGATGCTCCGATCTTGAGCACGGAAAAAGCAATCCTTGAATGTCAACCAACTATCTTGGGCCCCTTTACCTTCAAGCAGCCTTGTCCATGGGATTTCCCCTAGCAATTGCTTGAAAAGGCCAGTGTTTGCCCTGCTAAAGTCCAGGGCTGCAATTCTACTTGGTATTCTACTAGTCCTACCACACAAGATCCTGAGCTCCACCATCTCGTGGTCGCTGCAACCAAGGCAGCCCTCAACCCTTCCTGCTTCAACCAGATCCTCCTTGTTAGTGAGGATGAGATCCAGCAGCGCTCCTCTCCTGGTCGGCTCATCCACCATTTGCAGGAGGAAGTTATCATCCATACACTGGAGGAACCTCCTGGACTGCGGCTGGGTTGCCGAGTGGTCCTTCCAGCAAACATCAGGGAAGTTAAAATCCCCCACGACGACCACAGCCTGTGACTGTGAGGCCGCTCTCAGCTGCCTGTAGAAGGCCTTGTCAACTTCCTCACCCTGATCTGTTGGTCTGTAACAGACACC